TATATGCATTGAGTTTTTGCTTAGGTTAAATTAAACACAGGGATGTCAAAGAGAGTTTTGTGTCTTGTGTTGTGGCTGTGTGTTCTGTTGCAGCTATCAAGGAAAAGTTTCAGAGGAGGGTTTAAGTTGGAACTTAAATATTTTTTAAAATAACATTTGTTAATCCTTTGACTGTCGTATATATACGTCTCACAAGCCAGTGTTTTTGACGTATTAACCCTTAACCCTTTCGGGGTTTCGGCCGTACTAGTACGGCTTATGCGCAGGGTTTTTTGATGTACTAGTACGCATAAATTCTAGCGCCATCAAATCTCATGGGAAAAGGCTGGTAGGCCTAGATGTGAGAGAATGGGTCTGTGTGATGGGTGTGCGCAGTAGAAAAAAAATCTAGGACCCAGTGGTGCATTGTGGGAATGCCATCTTAGTACACAATGTCCACCATGCCTCGCGGTAACAAGTTCCTCACTCCTCGGCGAATTGGGACACTTTTGTTCCCAGTGACAGTTCTAATTCAGATGGAAGTGCCAGTGAAGATGAGTTTCAAGGTTCTGGTGAGGTAGTGACCGATAGTAATGACCATAATATCGGTAATAGTGAGGAAAACCCAAATGACCCTCAGCCTTCCACCTCTGCTGCTGGGCCATCTTGTTCACGTTCAGCTGTACCAGAATCAAAGAGGAAACTCCTATTTTCCCAAATCCCTGACTCAGATGTGAGCATTTGTGATGATAGTGATAGTGATTATGAACTACAAGCTCTTGAAAATAGTTCCAGTAGTGACAGTGAAGTGGAATATTCTCCAGTGAAGCGCCAGTATATACGACGATATATGTGCTCTGGCAGTGTGCCATATGCTATTCCAAGGGGAAGGAGTACATCTTGGAGTACATCCCGTGGCTGTACAACAGGAACTGACAGTGAAAATGACGATGATACTTTTGCAACTGGGATTGAAAATGTGCATGGTGGTGGTAGTGGTGGTGCCGGGCGTGAGGCACCAGCAGTGGGCCATGCTGCCACCCACGCCGCTGCTACCCACGCCGCTGCCACCCACGCCGCTGCCTCAGCTGATCAACAACAAAGGCCACCATCCCCCCCACCACCACCACACAGCCTCCAAAACCAAACCTCCACAACCACAACCACCTGTCATTGTCCAGAAACTCACCCAGCAACCGCACCTGGGATTGGCAAGAAGCGTCAATTTTGTTCCAAATCCCCACCATTTTTTGATGACAGCCAAAGGGGAATACAGCCAGGTTGTACACTGGGAAAAACAAGCCCACTGAACTGGAATGTTTCGAGTAAAATTCTTTGTGAACCCCTGATGAAAGTATTGTCATGGAAAGCAACACATACTACGATACACCATGGCAAACACAATACTTTCACCAAAATAAACGTCAAACACCTGTGGAAGGAACAACGTGGTGAATGATCTTTTCTTGGCCACAATAATGCTTATGCCACATGTGTATAAGCACAAAGTGAAATCATACTGGTCACGAAGCCTGTTTGCAAGCCCAGGTTTTCAGTGATATAATGGGAGTGAATTGATTTGTGCTAAGTTACGTATGCTTCACTTCTCAGACAAAACCAGGCCTGACACAACGACAGGTATATAAGATTAGGCATGTGTCTGTGTATCTGAAAGAGACATTCAATATGTATTTTTAAACCCTTCAGGAAGCTTGTAATTGACGAGTCTTTGATTCTGTTCAAAGGAAGACTCTTTCAAGCAGTACATACCAAGCAAGAGGAAACGCCTTGGTATAAAGTTGTTTGTGCTTTGGGTTGTTTACAGGTCGGTATTGGATAAATTTTTGTGTACCTGGAAGTTATACATTGCAAAATACCAGGAAGTTATTGGGCATCTCTGGAGATGTGGTTAAACAATGATAGAACCATACCTTGGTAAGGGCATATATTATATACAGATAAATGGTACACAACCCCACACTCAGTGATTTTTTGCGATGAACATGACAGATTGTGTTTGGGAAAGTGCGTGCAAATCGGAAACATATGCCCAGGTTTTTATGCTGGCACTCGTAAAGGTGAGGGGCAGGCGTTTGCTGCCAATGACATCATGGCATTTCGGGGGCATGACAAACGAGATGTCACACTGTTGTCATCATTCACCCTAATGAAATGGCAGACACTGGCAGCAGCATAGAGAGAGCAATGAATCCATTCCAAAACCCGCAGCTGTGATTGATTACACCTTCAATATGCTTTCAGTGGACAAATGTGACATACAGATTGGGTTTGCTGATTGTGTTCGCAAGAGATATAAGTGGTACACAAAACTCTTTTTCCATCTTCCGGACATTTCCATGCTGAATGCTTATAAAATGTATAAGATGAGGACCAGAAACACACCACCATATGGCGAATTCTGTTTGTCTGTCATCAGACAAATAATATTCAAGTACCAAGGAACAGCACCTGCAATAGACCGCCCACCAAATTTTCAACAACTTCCTTCTCGTTTGAAGCATGGTGATCACTTCCTGGTAAAACTGCCTGCTACTACTTTCAAGAAAAAGGCTCAGAAGAGGTGTTACGTCTGTGCACATACAAGAAAATGCCCACAACAACGCAGAGACACTCGTTTTATGTGTGAGGAGTGTAAAACACCACTGTGCATGACACCATGTTTCCCGAGAGTTCCACAGGCTGCAGAACTCTAGAAACATTCCCTGTGACGTATATGTGTATATAAAATAAAAGAAAAATAGTAATAAACAACATTTCATATCATTTGTTTGTGTAAATATTTTCTGTAAACAAAACAATGACAACAGTGTTTATGCCATTATTGTGTAGTATTGAAAAAGAAATAACTTACAAAATACTGATCATATTGGTCTCACATGCCATAAAAGTTACTTGGAAAAAGAAAAATTAAAAAATAATAGAAAATAGTACATAAAAAAGTAAATAAAAGAATACCGGGTGATGGCAGTCGGCGATGTTACCAGATGTTGTTCACTTTTTGCAAACTTCATGCCTTCATATCTCGGTAAGTACTGATGGTAAAAATTTTTTGTTTAGCCTATAATGTTTAGAAAAAAAAAAAACTATTTTCATAAGAAAAAATAGTTTTTTTTTTTTTTTAAATTTGGCTGACCCTGAGAACAAGTCTCTGAGAGGACCTGCCGACCCCCAAAGGGTTAAACTGTCCAAACGTAGATATACGTTGACGTGGAACATAGATCTACGTTTTTTACATGCTTTCAAATGGGGAAAATCAAGGTCGGAGCAATATGCACGTGAACGTAGATCTACGTTTGGACAGTTTAAGGGTTAATACACCAAAATTCTAGCAGCTTCAAATCAAGTGGGAGAAAGCTGGTAGGCACACATGTGAGAGAATGGGTCTGTGTGGTCAGTGTGCGCAGCATAAAAAAAATCCTGCAGCACACAGTGAATAATGAGAAAAAACTCCGACTGTGTTTTTTTAATTAAAACACCGACTTTCAGGTGTATTTTCATATAGTATATATGGTTGTATTGTCATTTTCTTTGTCTCATTTGATAAAATGGAAGACATATTACAGAAATAGAGATAATTCTGGCTGGAATCATCTCTATTTCTGAAAAGGACCTTGAAATTGAGCTCAAAGAAGCAGAAATGATGTTACCGTCCAAAAGTAGCGGAAATGACGTCACCATCCAATAAGTGTCCAACTAGCCATTCTAATGCGCAGTCACAAATGGGTTGACATTATTTATACAATTACTACAATATTGCAGTAGTCTACATAACAGTAAATCTTCTATTTTTTTGTGAATAAAAATTCAAAATAGAAAGCAAGAGTAATATAAGAGGGGCCTGGAGACATGACTAATAAACAGAGAAAATGTTATTTTAGTGCCAGGAATGTTTGCATTGCTTATTCTGGACCTTATTTTGAAATTGGCATCTTTTTTAATTTGCGTGAAATTGGCTAAATTGCCAATTTTGGTAAATGAATGGTTTCTTGTACTTAATCGATAAAACAAAAGGAGTTCTAAAGAAATAGCTATGAGTTTGGTCGAATGGAACAATGGAATTGGCCGAAAATAGGGCTCAAAGTGGGTGAAAGCACTGATGCGTATATAGTATTGCCAAGATAAAATTTCACGAGAGCGTAATTCTATAAATTTTCCATCAAATTTCGTTCTTTTGGTGTCATTACCACTGGGAAAAGATTCTCTATCAATATTCTGCGATAGACACTTCAGGAGTTGGCGTCTTGACAGTCAAAGGGTTAAAAGTAAGCCTTAAACAGGGATGTGTGATGTCACCATGGTTGTTTAACATATTTACAGATGGGGTTGTAAAAGAAGTGAATGCTATGGTGTTTAGGAGAGGTGATGGATTAAAAGATAAAGAATCTAATACAAAGTGAGAGTGTCACATTTGCTTTTTGCCAATGACAGTGTGTTTGAGAGATTCTGGAAATAAGTTGTAAAGATTGGTGGATGAATTTGGGAGAGTATGTGAAAGAAGGAAATTAAAAGTGAACATAGGAAAGAGCAAGGTGATGAGGGCAACAACAAATTTAGGTAATGAAAGATTGGATATCAGATTGGAAGGAGGGAGTATGAAGTGAATGTGTTCAGATATTTGGGAATGGACTTGTCAGTGTACAAGTGCACTACAACAAACATGCAGGTGTAAATCGCCAATAAATGGTAAGAACACACTAACTGTACTTAAGTCCTTTGTGAGTGAAACATTGTGCCAATGAAGCTTCCCTGCATTTAAGTGTCTTCTTACAAATAAAATAAGCCTCACAAAAAAAAAGCAAGCATTCAAAATTATTCATGAGAGATCCTTCGGTAAAAAAATGTTGAGTAATTAAAATTAGCAAATTTTGGTACATTCTGTACACTAAATTTGCAGGACTTATTACCTGGCAGACTGGAGTCTTCCATAAAATGGTGACCCAGCTCAGTCAGGATCAAGTCTTATATGTTTAGCTGAGTAAAGCAAAGTAAAACAAACTTACACTGTATTAGTGGAATTCAGGTTTGGCAGTGCTCGTGTTCTAAAGGCAACAGTTACAGGACATGAAGGCATATCCCCATCATTAAGAATCACACAGTTGCTGATATTCACAACCACCAGCCATGTTGATAATGGTACATAGAATCTGTGGAAGAGACAGCAACAGTCATGAATAAATCATATGACATACAAACAAAAACTACATGCTCGCACCAAACTTTGTTACAGTGGACCCTCGGCTAACGCCTGCATCGGCTAACACCAAAATCAGTTAACGCCTCTCTATGGCATAAAAAAATTGGCTCGGCTAACACCTAAAAACTCGGTTAAGCGCTTTTGTCCCGAACGTGTCCACACAGCGCCCTGAGCGGGCCCGGTCACTCAATCCGTGTACCAGCTAGTGTGCCATTGTTTACAAGCCAGTCAAGATGATTCTACATGTACATACGATATGTTTTGTATTATTCCATTGTTTTTAGTGCTTATAACTGCTAAATAAGCCATCATGGGCCCCAAGAAAGCTTCTAGTGTCAACCCTGTGGTAAAAAGGGTGAGGTGTACTATCGAATTAAAAAAGGAGATAATAGAAAAGTATGAGAGTGGAGTGCGCATCTTGGAGTTGGAAAAGTTATACAACAAACCCCATTTAACCATCACTACTATCTTGTGCAACAAAAAGACAATCAAGGAAGCTGTTGTTGCAAGAGGTGCAAGTATGCTTACAAAACAGAGATTGTAAATACTTGAAGATGTGAAGAGACTGTTGTTGGTGTGGATAAACGAGATACAATTATTAGGAGACAGTATTTCTCAGTCAACAATAAGTGAAAAGGCAAGTCAGCTGCATGAGGATCTCATTAAGAAAATGCCTCCAAATAGTGCTGCTGTTGATGAATTTAAGGCCAGCAAAGGCTGGTTTGAGAGATTTAAGAATCGCATTGGCATACACAGTGTAAAAAGGCATGGTGAAGCTGCCAGTTACGACAAAAAAGCAGCTGAAAAATACGTGCAGGACTTTAAGGAGTACATAGACACTGAAAATTTAAAACCCCAACAAATGTTTAATTGTGACAAAACAGGCTTGTTTTGGAAGTAAATGTCAAACAGGACCTACATTACTCAGGAGGAAAAGACTCCCAGGACACAAGCCTACGAGAGACAGGCTAACTCTAATGTTGTGTAGTAATGCTAGTAAGGATTGCAAAGTGAAGCCTTTACTCATGTCTCACTCTGAAACTCCTAGAGTGTTCAAGGAAAACAATATCACCAAGACTAAATTGTGTGTGGTGTGGAGAGCAAACAGTAAGGCATGGGTCACTAGGGACATTTTCCTGGATTGGTTTTATGGCATGTTTGGCCCCACTGTGAAGCAGTACCTCCTGGAAAATAAATTGTCACTCAAGTGCATCATGGTAATGGACAATGCTCATCCTCATGACTTGCAAGAGCAAATTGCTGGGGAGTTGAGCTTCATCAAAGTGACGTTTTTGCCTCTTAATACCACTCCTCTCCTCCAGCCCATGGACCAGCAGGTCATTTCAAACTTCAAAAAACTGTACACCAAAGCAGTGTTTCAAAAGTGCTTTGAAGTGACCTCAGACACTGAATTGACCCTAAGAGAGTTCTGGAAAGATCACTTCAGTATCCTCAGTTGCATAAACCTTATAGGTAAGGCTTGGGAGGAAGCGACTTGCAGGACTCTGAACTCTGGTTGGAGAAAATTGTGGCCAAAATGTGTACAAGAGAGGGATTTTGAGGGGTTTGGGGCTAACCCTGGGAAGCCTATACCAGTTGTGGAATCTACTGTGACATTGGGAAAGTCCATGGCATTGGAGGTTAGTGGTGAGGATGTGGAAGCGTTGGTGGAGGATGACAATGAAGAGCTAACCACTACAGAGCTGCAAGAGCTTCAGGTGCAACAGCAACAGACCAAAGTTCAGGGATTTCCTTCAGAGGTGGAGGAAGAGAGACATAGGAAGTTGCCTTCGTCAAAGATTAAGGAAATGTGCACAATGTTTATAAAGTTGCAAACGTTTATGGATGAATATTATCCTGACACAGCTGTTGCAAACCATATTGGCAACTTGTACAATGACTCTCTTGTGGCCCATTTTAGGGAAATCTTAAAGGGATGCGAGAAACAGAGCTCTCTGGACAGATATTTTGCACGACAGGGGTCCTAGTGGCATTAAAAAGCAAAGAAGGGAGGTAACCCCAGAAAAGGACTTGTTACCTGAATCTGCCTGCATCCTCTGCCCTCCTACCATCTCATCATTCATCAACAAGTCCACAATAAAGGTAAGTGTCATTTTAGTATTGTTCATTGTGCATGTATCATTGTTTTCTGTGTAGGGAAATGTATATTTAATTTAAAAAAATTTATTTTGTTTAATATTTTTGGGTGTCTGGAACGGATTAATTGGATTTCCATTATTTCTCATGGGGAAAATTATTTAGTGTTATATTCTACCTTTGAAGGTTTTTAAATTTTTCTACTATATATTAACCAAATACACCTACCATCCGACTTACAACCTGCACGACATACGACCATTCAACTTACAACGGTGTTTTTTATGCCAAATTTCTGGGAAATAAACAACTGTTTGTGTTGTACACAGTGTTTATCCTAAACCTTACAGTATAAAATACAGTACTAACAGCATAAAAAGTAAAGTAAAAAATGAAATACCAAAATAAAACAATAAAATAAAGTCATTACAAAAATGTGATGTAGATATTTCGTAGTAAGGTTCGATTTACGTCCATTTCGACTTACGACCGGTTGGTTGGGACCGAACTCAGTCATAAGTTGGATGGGACCTGTAGTATACACCTTGGTAACTGATACCAATAAATTGGTTTAAAAAGGTAAGGGGGTAAACTCTAGGACATATTAGAAAAACATTTAAGTCCTAGGACTGAAACAATTTACTAATAACTGTTTGCTTATACAGTGGAACGTTGGCTTACGAACTTAATCCGTTCCATGACCGTTCGTATCCTGATTTGTTCGTATGCTGAGTCAATTTTCCTCATTTAACCCTTAAACGGTCCAAACATATATATACGTTCACGTACGCTTTATTTTTCATTCATTCAAAATTAGCGTGATAGGCCTGAGTAACCTAGACATGAGATAATGGGTGTGTGCACTCAGTGCGCACGGTATACAAAAAATCTGGGATGCCTGGGTACCACATGGTAGGACCAGTTACATTCAGCTCCATCCTGGGTCAACATCATGGCACATCCTCGTGATTCACTCACACCACGTCGTATTAACACTCTACTATTAGAAGAAAGTGATGCATATCATGAGTTTAGTGGATTTGACACCAATGGGGCCAATAATATTCAAGGAATTAGTGAAAATATCGACGATAATCCAGATGACCCCCAGCCCATCACCTTCTGGGTGGCGACGCCTGTCCTAGAGCCAAGCACCTCTGGGGTAGCCAGTGTGGCCACACCAGACCCTAGGCCAAGCACTTCTAGGGTGGCCAGTGTGGCCACAGAAGACCCTGGGCCAAGCACCTCTGGAGTGGCAAGTGTTACCCATAGGCAACTTCGCAAGAGGAAACTATCATTTTCCCGGTGTTTTAGTGATAGTGAAAGTGATGTAAGTGATGATGAGATTGATTTTATGCCAATCGAGGATTCGTCTAGTGATAGTGACGTTCATTATTCACCAGTGAAACGTACTTTTAGGTGTCGTTATCTATGTTCAGGCAGTGTGCCATATGCAATCCCCAAGGGTCGTGGCAGGTCACGATCCAAAACCCCGGTCACTGATAGTGAAAGTGATCATGAAGGGGAGTATGCGGGGATGGAGGAAGTAGTGTTGGGTGGCACGGTGACTGGACCACATGGCGCAGTGGGTGGACAGACAAAGGACCGCCCGGCACCCCCGCAACCATGTGCTGCCTCCACTCCTGTCCCTCCTCCTGCCCCCCCTCGCTCCATGCCACAGGTCCACCCTGCACCATGTGATCATGAGTGGAACTGGACACAAAGTATATTCGTGCCACAGCCTTGTGATTTTGATGCTAGTGGAAGTGGTATCCAGCCAGAATGTCCCATAACGAATGAGTCTACAGAGTTAGACTATTTCCAGTTGTACTTTGATAAGCCTATAATGAACTTGATAGTGACTCAGACAAACATTTATTACCAATATGTCATGAACAACACAGCAGAGGTTGGAGAATTGTCACGGCTGCACAGGTGGTAAGACACAACAGTGGCTGAAATGTATTTATTCCTTAGCAGTGTCATGCTTATACCACATATCTATAAGAAAAATATACGTAATTACTGGTCTACAGACCACTTCATCAGTACTCCAGTTTTCCGTGACGTACTTCCCTGCAACAGATTCACTCTGCTGCTACGAATGTTGCACTTCTCAGACAGAAATACGCCAAACAGAAATGACCTTCTATACAAAATCCGGGAAGTGTTTATGTATTTGAAGCAGAAATTCAGTGTATACTTTCATCCCTTCAAGAACATTGTTGTTGATGAGTCCTTGATTCTGTTCAAGGGACGCCTGTCATTCAAGCAATATATACCGAGCAAACGTAATCGCTTTAGTATAAAACTTTTTGTTATGTGTGACTGTGAGAGTGGTCTTGTGTTGGATGTAACTGTATACACCGGGTAAAACACACTTGATGATGACAGATGGATGTTGGGCATTTCTGGCAATGTTGTTCGCAGGATGATGGAACCATACCTTGGCAAGGGCCATACATTGTGCACAGACAACTGGTATACAAGCCCTATGCTCGCTGATTTCCTATGCATGAACAATACTGATATATGTGGAACAGTGAGAAGGAATAGGAAACATATGCCAAAGTTCAGTGGAGGTAGTATTGAAGGTGAAGTGCAAGCGTTTCATGCTAATGACATCATGGCACTGACGTGGCATGACAAACGGGACATGACATTGCTATCAACCATCCACAGAAACGAGATGGTACAGAGAGACTGAGCAGGTTCAACAAAGAACCTATTGTAACGCCAGCTGCTGTTGTGGACTATACAAACAATATGTGACTAGTTGACAAGTGTGACATGATGATAGGGTTTGTTGACTGTGTGCGTAGGAGTTGCAAGTGGTACATAAAACTGTTTTTT